TCAAAGATGGTTTAATGAGGAAACCTAACAAAGCAGAGCTCGGTAGAGAACTCATTAAGGATTCCACAATTTTAACAGTGAATAATGACACAAATTATATTCTTGACGGAGGAGCTTTGTTGCATTGAGTTTTTCGGAATCTTCCGGTCACATATTCAAACATCATGAAACAATATTGTACATTTATTACAAAAAAGTATGGTAATCATATTTCTATTGTTTTTGATAGTTATAAATCATCCATCAAAAATCACGAACATCAAAGGAGAGGTAAAAAGTTCGCCTACACTGTATTCCAAACAAAAAAACAAATCAACCGCAAGCAATCTGAACTTCTTTCAAACAGCAATAATAAAACCGCTTTGATGAAAGCATTAAAAATGAGGCTGCAATAAAAAAGTCATTTGTAATGGAATGTGAAGGAACCGCTAACAGAACAATTGCTTTGAAAGAAATTGAAATTGCACGAAACGGAAAATGTGTAACTATCATTGCTGATGATACAGACATTCTGTGATGTTGGTTCACATGTAGGATAAAACCACGTGCAATCTTTTATTGCGCCGGTAAGCTAAGAAGAGTATGAAAAAAGATGTGGAAACAATCAGTATAAAGAATGTTGCATCAAGTCTATCGTATCACGTTAAAAATTGTTTGTTGTTTATTCACGCTTGGAGTGGATGTGATACTACATCTGCACTTTTTGGTCAAGGGTACTGTAATGAAGTTTATTGAATCAAATAGTTAGTTCGCTCAAAATATATATAAAGTCTTCCAAGATCCCTTTGCAACACAAAATCAGGTAGCTAGTGTTGGAATGCAAGTGTTTTTAAATATGTATGGTATGCAAAACACTTATCATAGTCCTTTATTTTTATCATTTTTATTGTTATAATCATTATTATAATGTCATATTGTTTTGCTGAGGTTTAGTTTAACTCAACTATTTTTTAAGGTAAAAAAAATAAACAAGTCCAGTTGGCACAACTAAGGAAACAAAAATATATGAGAATGATGGCAGCTTCCAAAAAATAAATTCAACCAGAACGACTACTACCAAACGAAAGTACGATCAGGTACCATTCTTTTTGAGTATATTTACAAATTCAACAATGGTTGGGTGTCAATTTGGATGAAACAAATTGGGGATGGAAAATGGAAAAGAATGTCTTAGTACCTATAATAACAGACAAGGTACCTATGCAGCAAAATAAACCACGAATGTCAATTTTACTTTTAAAACAGAATAGAAAATTTTTTAAATACACTTATTTTTTTAATAAACAGCCTAAGTGTAACCCAGCACCCAAAAAAATCTTCATTAATTTTTAAGCTTAACTATTTTTTTTAATAAAGATCCTGCACCAATTCACATTCTTAACACCATAAGATGTAACTGCAGCACAAATACAAAATCATCATGTAGAAAACAATGCCAATGTCGACGTCATGAAATAAATTGCATGACTGCCTGCAGACAGTGCCAAGGTTTGAAGTACACAAATGCAACAATAAATGACGATATCAATATCAAAGAAAACCAAAATGAACTGAAAGTAGCGAAGATACAGATGGAAACATTTTTGAAAAATAAATATTTCACTTTTGATTTTATTTCCAATTATATTAGTCAAAAGTAAAAAGCGCCAATATTTAACATTTAGTGGATTGAAATATAATTTTAAAAACGTTTGTTTTTTGTTTTAGATAACTAATAAACAAGTTAGTTTTATTTGAGGCTCAAAATCAACTATTTATTAATTAATTTTTTGGTTAAAGGTGTCAAATTTGGCCCAAATCGCACAAAAACTGCTGACATCAGCATAAAATTATATTTTCAAACAAAATTTGTTTTCTTTAATTCATACGCATTAAGCTCTGTTTGTGCAAAATTTCATAAAGATTAAAGATTTTTACAATGAGTTATTACAACTTGTTAACAACAGGGTCTCACATTTTTTTTGTTTTTTCAGAAATTTTCCACAAAGTGAAGTGAACTAAATTTTTCATAACTTTTTTTGACCAAAATGAATTTTGGTGGATTTTGGATATGTTATAGTAAATAATATTACGCGTGGTGTTCAATTTCAACACGCTAATGTAGCTTGTCCAGAATTAGTTGAACTTATTTTTAACTTGTTCATATACTTTTAAATGTCTCATGTAAAAGTCCTCAGTAACAATATCATATACAAATTCGCAAGTTTCAAATTTAATGTAAGACTTTTAAATCTGTATAGTATGAAAGTAGAAATTTTAGAACTATTTGCTCGCAGTAAAAAAAAAGTTATTTTTAAGTTTTGTTTTAAAACTGACTACTATACTATGAATCTGACTTATATTAAGCTTTAAAAACAAGAGTTTTGAGCTTAAGAAACCCGTATTTAATTTTTCTTATGAAATATTTAAAAAAGCCCAGCTTTCTATTATTTAGTGCATAAAATGCTTTTGGAACCAAATAAAAAAAAAAAATTATCATGTTACTTAAAAATTTTACTTAAAAGTAAATTATTCAATTTTTAAAAAAATATAATACTTGTTACAAGTATGCGACAAGTAGGAAACTTGTAAAGTCCAGAATTAAACAACAGCTCTGTACCATTTACACATAAAACTGTGGAAGGATTTGTTGCAAAGTTTCAAACCGGCATACGTATTTAAAAACTTCATTGAACTAACTATTGGTACGCTTGGAGTTTCTCAGAAGCTAGACTTGACTTTGCTCCCAAATTTCCCATTTCATATTTTTACAAACTAATATGTAGAATCAAAGTTGTAGAGCAAAAGAATTTATTGCGAGCTGTCAACTGAGCTGACGAGATAAAAATAGTGTAAACTCGTATATATTCTAAGTTTGAAACCTAGTTTTAGTAAAATCATCTGTGCTTTAAAGAACCTCGCAGATATATTTATCAAACTGCATAAATCAGCTTGATTGCATTGAAACATCCAGACTTAATTTAAAATTAAAGACTTAACGTAAACCCATTTTAGAAGGAACTGCAAGCTCTTTTTTTTAATGCATTTTTAGCATTACTCTTCCACGGATCAAAATTCATTGAATTAAAAAGTGAAAAACCCAAACGCTTAAATGTGCGCTTTGCGATGTATATAAGATATTTGTAAGGGACGCTCTTGAGCAGTTCAATATATCACTGTTGTAGAACATCACACTCAGACTAAAAGCAAAATTCAAGAAAATTATATTGGCGGATGGTTCGACAGCCAATTACCAATATGATAATACATACGAGCAAGAAAATCTTAGACATTTGTTATTTTTGGATTGATTTTTTATTTTAATCAATCAAAAAATAAAATAATTCATTATTATGTAAATAGTATTATGTTTGAGATTTATGATCTAAAATGTGAAGAATGTTCTTCCAAAATATATTGTTGCATACTTGAAATCAAACAAAAAAAAAAACAAAAATATACTATCATAAGCTCCCGAAGAGTTAGATATCATAAAATTATAATGCTTAAATTAAAAATTTAAAGAGATTAAAAACCTGTTTTTACATAATAAAGTGTTGGCTTCAAGGTTTACATAATAAAGTGTTGGCTTCAAGGTTTATATAATAAAGTGTTGGCTTCAAGGTTTACATAATAAAGTGTTGGCTTCAAGGTTTACATAATAAAGTGTTGGCTTCAAGGTTTACATAATAAAGTGTTGGCTTCAAGGTTTGCATAATAAAGTGTTGGCTTCAAGGTTTACATAATAAAGTGTTGGCTTCAAGGTTTACATAATAAAGTGTTGGCTTCAAGGTTTACATAATAAAGTGTTGGCTTCAAGGTTTACATAATAAAGTGTTGGCTTCAAGGTTTATATAATAAAGTGTTGGCTTCAAGGTTTACATAATAAAGTGTTGGCTTCAAGGTTTACATAATAAAGTGTTGGCTTCAAGGTTTACATAATAAAAATTTGGCTTCAGTTCTAATTTAGAATCTGGAGTAGGATCCGAGTTTAACGTGATTTTTGTTTGGGATTATTTTTTGTCCGGAACTAGTTCAGAAGTTGATCAATTAATTTTAGGTATTGCAGCCGGAGTGATCACTAGAGACTCTGTATATGCATCAGTGACAGCTGTTGATACTATACTAATTGTGACTTTCTTCTCACAAACGATCATAACTAATATTTGGAAAGAGAAAGATTTAAGGCCCTATTAGTAAGTTGACAAGGTCACAAATATGTTCTAACTGAGTTTTAGATTGACAGTGTAATTTTAAAATTCTCAAAGTTATCTTGTTGGTTGTTTTTTTAGATTCTTAAAGGTTTTTTTATTTCTGACAAAATAATTTTTGTTCAGCTTCTGAATGTGTTTTTTTTTTTTTTTAATTTTCTAATAGTTTTAAACTTAACTTGGAATTTTTTTACTTCAGCTTCATTAAACTTTTTTACGTCAGCTTTATAAAAAACTTCTCAAAAATTAGCTTTGTAAATTGTCCCAACAACTTCCTCAACTTGTGCTTAGGAGTTGCTCCGCTAAGAGATTTCAATACTATTAGCACTTGTCAACAATTCGCTCTTTTTGAGTCGGAATTCATTTTCTCCTTATTAAAATATTAGCAATTCAAAATTCTGCTTTTTGAAGCATTGAGGTAGTTTCAATAATGTTTTTTATTAAACATAATACAATATATAAGTAATAATCACAAAAAACTATGACATCCCAACCCACACTCAAGATGTCACGATGATTCGATTTTCTTTTTTAAAACAAGATTAGTGTGCGGCTGCTAAATTCTTTTATAAAAGAGTTTTTGTTAACTAACTTAATTAACATACATACATAAAACAACTTTAGTTGAAACTTTATGATTGCAAAGCAACTCAGTTGAATGAACTAAAATCTATAAGAAAAATAAAACCCTTTACTTTAACTTATTGATATATCGTTTATTTTATCACTTCACAAAATTTTTTAATCTCTTTATTGATTAAGAATTTTTTTTCTTGACGAAGAAGCGAAAGTTTAATATAGAAGACAAACTAAATGTAAAATTTTTTTCTTTCTTGAAAGAAAATGAAATCTAAAGAATTGTTACCGGTTGAGTTTTTAATTTTCTGCAACCGGTTTACTTAAACAAAAACTTAAAACTTTACGTTGTGTATTATATTCAAGAAAATTGCGACTTATTAAACCGCAATAACCGTAGTAAATCCGCATAATAGTCAAGGCAGCGCTAAAGTTTAAAAGCAGTCAATCCTCTAATCCGCCAATCCGGAATATTTCAAACTTCACCGATCTCTTAGTTTAATCCATTAAGCATATTCTTGGTAAAACTAAAATAAAATATGATTGATCACAAATTTGGTACAATTTAAAAATAAAATTTTAATATCTTCTAAAGTAAAAAGAATATTTACATTTTGGTTTTATCGGAACAATTATTATAGGCAAAAATTAACCGGTGTTTTTCGTTTTATTATTATCTTAAGTTGATTTAGGTGCAAGAAGTCCGGCCTTATCACAAACACCGCGTAAGAGAATTTAATAGAAATATAATAGTTCACGCCTCCTTCCCAACCGATGTTGCAAAACTTGCCTAGAGGTGGGGTTTGAACCACGTATCTTACGTTTCTGAGGAAAGTAAGCTGCCACTGCGCCACGGCTGCTTTTTGTTATATTATTGGTATTGACGTTTTGTGGTTTAAGTTCAAAACACCAAGAGTTGCCTTAACATCTGATAATATGAATACGCTAATTTAATATAATTATTATTATTATTAGTCGAGTTACGTCATTTTTTAGGCTTTTCTTTTTTAAAGTAGTTTCTAGGCTTTTCTATACGCGGTTTTTTTTATTTATTTTATTTACTAACAACGCGTATTACGGGTTGCTTACTGCTAGTATTAATAAGTCTACAAGAGCATAAGCGGTTATAAAAAACTAATGTTGTTGATTTTTTTTTTTTTTTTTTGCATTGTTATTGGCAAATAGAGTTTTAGTCTAGTGGTCATTTGCCAATAATAAACATGTGACAAAATTTTGGGTTTTTATTATACTTATTTTTTGAAAAAAAAATAAAACAAAATATGAAAAATTTGGCGTATAAAAAATATGGATTAATCCCTGCATCCAACAGAAAGTAAATGAAGATATAAAACAAAAAAGTTCATAGTTCATTTAAAGTTTCATAACCAAATCTTTAAAATAACAAGATTATTTTTATAAGTTATATAATTTTACAAGTAATGTAAGTTACATAATAAAGCAAAACAAACAAAATCCAAACATTATCGACAAATAACACAGAAAACCCAAAAGCGAACAAACCTACCCATAAGGAAAGTTGTATTGAATTGAAATTCTACTGAATGTAACTTATTAATAATTACAAGCCAAATTAATGCTATATAGCCATTGCAAAAAAATTAAAATTTACTCCTACGTCGCTAAAGGTTAATTCGAAGAAAAGCAGAAGTTTTAAAAGGTTTCTGTTTTTCCGAGGAGGCTACTTATTTGTTTCACAAATAAGTAGCCTCCTCGTCTGTAGTGGCCTTCTCGGCCTTGAGGAGGTGAATTAAAATTAAAAAAAAAAAAATATATATATATATATATATATATATATATATATATATATATATATATATATATATATATATATATATATATATATATATATATATTGCATTGTTATTATAGTATTCATTCATATAGTATTTATTTGCCAATAATAAAAATCTAATGAAATTTTGGGCTTTTATTATATTTATTTTTTGAAAAGAATATAAAAGAGGTTTACCTGCATTTAAAAAAATTTGGCGATTAAAAAATACGGATTAAATCTTGCATGCAGCAGAAAGTAAATTAAGATATAAAATAAAAAAGTTCATCGTTCATTCAAAATTTCATAACCAGTTCTTTAAAATAACAAGATTATTTTTATAAATAATATAACTTATAAGTTTCATAATAAAGCAAAACAAACATAATGATAGCTATCTACAAATAATATAAAGTTGCTCAAAAGTGAAAAAAATAACTCTCCCATAAGGGGAGTAGCATTAGCCTAATTAATGTTATTTAGCCATTGCAAAAAATTATATATATATATATATATATATATATATATATATATATATATATATATATATATATATATATATATATGTTTATATATATATATATATATATATATATATATATATATATATATATATATATATATATATATATATATATATATATATATATATATATATATATGTATATATATATATATATATATATATATGTTTATATATATATATATATATATATATATATATATATATATATATATATATATATATATATATTTTTTTTTTTTTTTTTTTTTTTTTTTTCAATTTTAATTCACCTCCTCAAAGCCGAGAAGGCCACTACAGACGAGGAGGCTACTTATTTGTGGTTATAACCCTCTCTCAACTCTATAACTCCGAAACACGAATCTTGATGAACAAGGCCGCTGCGCGGAGAAAGGAGTTGAGCGCGGTACTACCAGGGACGTGGTGGGGATCGAACTCGAAACTACTCGTTTATGAAGCGAGCGCTCTACCACTACACCACTATATATTTATATAAATATATATATAAATATATATATAATATATATATATATATATATATATATATATATATATATATATATATATATATATATATATATATATATATATATATATATATATATATATATATATATAATATATATATATATATATGTTTATATTACTTTCATTTTAAATCAGTAGAAATATAATATAGTTTCACGCTCTTTTAAAAATATTTTTAGCATATTGCAAAAATTATATGCATTTTAAAACGGATTAATAAATTTAAAACGTCCCAAACAAGATGGAGTGAGCGCATAGAGGCTGTCTGGCCATTGTTGAAATGACCAAAAGAAATACTGAAGTCCTTGAAAATTTTGAAATCCTTGAAAACCCTTTGAAGTCCTTGAAAACCTTGAGAGCCTTGAAATTTCTTGAAGAACTTAATATAGAAGATCATCAACTGACTTTAGTTAAGGAACTCAAAGAGTCTGGTTCAAGGCTCTCCTATGTGTCAACAAAGTTCAAGTGATGAAGAAAAACTTCAAGTTAAAAAGAAAAATGCAAAGTCCTGTTCTCTACGTAATTGATGTAAAAAAAGAGGAGTTGATTGAAGAAACACGTCATTTAGACGTCATTTAGACGTTTTGAAGCAATCAAATACTTTTAGACAAATAGAATCTCTTTCTTCTAACAAGTTGCTCAACAGAATCTACCAGAAAGATTTTCAGTCAATATTTCCTTCGATCTTCATTTTACTTTGCATTTTTAATACAATACTGGTATCGCTGGCTGTAGGACAGCGCTCTTTCACTAAGCTTGCTCTCATCAAATCAATTTGCGATCAATAATGATTAAAGAACGCTTTACTAAACTTATGGTGATATTAATTGAAACTACCTTGCCAAGACTTTATCGCATGAAAATGTCATCTCTAGTTTCGCAGAGAAGAAATCCCGCAAAGTCAAATTAGTTTGATCTGACTAGTTGTCATAATTAACATTTTATTGATGAAATATATAATTTTATTCATTCTAAATTGTATTTGTATTTTTGTTTTATCATGTATAACCAAGTTCAAATGTTGAGTGCTTGTGTGCAGCGACACTTAATACAAAAAAAACTATTATTTTTGTTAAATTGTAATGTGATAGAAGACATACGAGCAAAAAACAGTGAAATTCATGCTTATTTAAATATACTCAGAAATCCAAAGTTTGGGGCACCGAAAAAAAGTGACCCTGGTAACCTGAAGTCTTTGTGCGGTCCTGTAAGTAGCATTGCATTTAGTCTTCTAAACCACCGGGTTTGTATTGAATGGTGCGGTCTATTCTTCATCAATTAGATTTTAGCAATAGATTTTTATGCAAACATGCTGAGAAAGTATGACAAAAAAAAAATAGGAGAAACTGAAGACTAAAATTTTGGAAAGCAGAAAAATTTAGAATAAAAGTTAAGTAGTAAGTTATACTTTAATATAATTTTTTAATGTTGTATCTCTTTATTACATTAAAAAAGTTTATTTCGAACCCATTTAGGGTTAGGCTAGTCTAGTTAGAACAATCACAAGGCAGACCACACGGGTTTTAAAGGGGAAGGGCACAACCACCAATTTCTAAAAAAGTCCTCTATACCTAAAAATTTTTAAAAAATGATATTAAAAAAAGGTTTTAGAAAAAGGTGTGTGAGTGGGGAGGGGGGTGGTGAAGGGGAAGAATGCAGTACTCCCTGATACCAGCCAAATTTATTGTATTTTTTTGTAATCGTTGATTTTCCTAATATTTTACAGCTTTTGAGGGTAGCTACTTAAAATATCAATTTTGAATTCGGAAATAACGTAACCACCATATGTATTAACGTAACCGTCATATGTATTTAAGTAATCGCTACATGTATTTACGTATTTTCTATACGTATTTGCAGTAAATATATTGACTGTATTTATAAATAATTTTTCTTTACATGACTTACAAGTTTCTCTTAGTCATGATAGAGTTTAAACAAAAGCAATTTACAGTTTAATCAAGGTCAACGGGTTTTGGTTAAACTAAGCGCCTTAGTTTTAGGGCACTAACTTTTTTTTAGTTTTTATTTCTATTTTAATTCACCTTCCCAAGGCCAAGAAACAGTTGAGAAAACTACTTTACTATCCAAGGCTACTATAGTTGAGAAAACTACTTTTAGTTGTGGTTACTATACTCTCTAAACTCTATAAGCTCCGAAACACGAACCTTGCCGATTAAGGCTGCTGTGCGAAGAAACAAGTTAAGCGCGGTAAAACAAGGGACTTGGCGGAGATCGAATATTATACTTAAGCACCAATGAATTGTGCTTTCATTAAACAAAAAATGAATAGTAATTCGTAATACTTCTTTTAAACCTCATTTGACAACTGGACTAATTTACTAATAAAGTTACTGCTTGTTTAACGATTATTATTATTCGTTAAAAAAATAACATTCTTCTAAAAGAGTATTAGTATTTGTCAAATAATATAACTGTTTGTTAAACGAATAATAATAGTCGTAAACGAATATTGCTATTTGTCAATTGAACATTACTATTCGAACAATACTAATCAAACATTACTAATCGAACATTACTATTCGTTAAACAAATTGTGCTAATTCGTTAAACGAATATTATATTTCTTTACTTTGAATTTAATTCGTTAAACGAACATTATATTTCTTTACTTTGAATTTAATTTGTTAAACGAATATTATATTTCTTTACTAATAAATATTTCTCTTTGTTAAAAGAATATTACTACTCGTTAAAATTTTTTGTAATCAGTTGCACTTTGTTTGATTTTAAGAACCGTTTTAAGAACGGTATTATTCGTTTAACAAATAGTACTATTTGTTTAACGAATAGATTTATTTGTTAAAAGAAAAGCGCTATTCATTTTACGAACATTCTATTAGTAATTTGGTCTATTAATAATTTCTTAAGCAATGTTTTACGAACTACAAACAAACTTTTTAAACAAATACTATTTGCAAACAAGTACTATTTTAAAATAGTACTATTTGCTAATTGAAAAACACTCTTCGTTAAATGATTGGTACTATTCGTTAAATGATAGGTACTATTTGTTAAATGATAGGTACTATTCGTTAAATGATAGGTACTATTCCTTAAATGATTGGTACTATTCGTTAAATGATAGGTACTATTCGTTAAATGATTGGTACTATTCGTTAAATGATTGGTACTATTCGTTAAATGATTGGTACTATTCGTTAAATGATAGGTACTATTCCTTAAATGATTGGTACTATTCGTTAAATGATTGGTACTATTCGTTAAATGATTGGTACTATTCGTTGAACAAATATTACTACTCCTTAAACAAATAATACTACTTGTTAAACATATAGTACTAGTACTAATAGCCAGTTAGCAAGAAATATTTGGCCAATGCTTGCCCAATGCATTGACTTATATTGGCCCAATAATGGCATGATGCGTTGAACCAACAACAAAGTGATTATTGGCGCAAGGTTCAACCAATGCTCTTCGGCTAATACTAAAATTAACGTTTAGCCAATGTTATAGTGGTATGTTAATCCAATGCCCAAATTATGTTTATCCAATATCTGACAGACTTTATCAACAGAAAAATAAAGTAATCACTTAAGCAATTACTTTAACGACCTGTTGATTATAAAAATTGAGAAAAAAATCTTTGGTTAAAGTGTTTTTCAATAAATCATATAAACAAACAGGTAAACTGAATTATTTTTATAATTAATTATAATAATTGATTACCAATTGAATCTAGATTTTTTTTTGACATAAGCGCTCGTTTGGAATCATTTTTATCTCCTTCACGGTCACAGGACTGCCTTAGCCAAATCTTCAAGAGTTGTTTAGCACTTTAAGTGGTAACGTCGCCTAATAACTTGTTCTTTATAATAATTTCTAAGAAAAAAAAGTAAAATTAAATCCTTATTTGAATTTTTGTTTCTTATCTGTTTAGAAGATGTAATTAAGATATTTACTAGTTATTCTAAAATAAATTAAATTCTTTAAAAATAAATTAAAATGTTAAATCTATTTATTATTAAAACATATTTTTATAAGTTTAATATCTGATTATATATTAAAATAATTTATAATAAAATTTAAACTAAAACTATTTAATTAAAGTAAAATAATTTAAATAACAATTATTTAAATTAATTAAAAATAAAATAAATTTTTTTTAAATAAAATAAAACTATTTTTTATTTAATTAAAATAATTTATATTAAAATTTATATTAAAAGTATATTATTTGATTATATACTAATAACATTTAGACCACAACATAAAAATTATATAAAATATACAAAATAATTTAGTTCAGTTTCCAATAATAGTATTTTGTCAAATACCAACTTTTACCCTTCGTTTCGTTGTATATTTGTATATCTTTTTGTGTACAAAATAATAATCATACTTGTTAAATACCGAGTTAAGTTGAATTATGATTGTGTATGACTTACTGACAATAAAAAAAGTTATTTTTTTATTGTCAGTAAGTCTGTTTAGAAATATTTAAGTCTGTTTAGAATTATTTGTAAATCTATTCAGTGGCGGATTAAGACTTCTTGGGGCCCGGGGCTATTTTTGTTTTTGAAGGCCTTTTTTTTTTTTTTTTTTTTTTGTAGTTATTTTAGGTGCTCCCAGAAGTCCTTACGGTCTTATGATAGAGCACCGCGAGAGAGCATTTAACTGGAAGTTCACGCCTTCTTCCGTACCAATGTCGCTTGTTGGACTAAAGCTAGCGTCGAACCTGAAACCTTATAGTTCTGAGCAAGAACTCTAACTACTGCGCCATAGCTGCTCAAATGGGCCAAAGTACAAAAATGATTAAAAAAAAAAAATAAAGCTGCCAATAGTGACATAGATTGGCATTATTTTTAACATTTAATTAAGCTTAAAAATTTCTAATAAACTTTAAAAATAAAATTAAGAATAAAATTATGCTTTTAAAAATTATTCACCTCAAAAAATTTTTTTAAATGCGGAAAATAAATATATTTTTTAGCAGATTTTTGTAAAAAAAATACAAAAAAAAAAAAAACGTTTATTTTTCAACGTGAATTGAAGTTTTTCTGATAATTATTTTAAATATTGAAGTTGGAAATCTTTAAAATTAATTTTAGATAACAATAACAAGCAAAAGTAACTATAACAAACTTATAAAAGATATATTAAAAGTTTTTATAATACCGACCTAATGAAAACAACTCTAATCCACTATTATCTTATTGACGATAAATTATTTCCTCCTCTAATCATTTTTTGGATGTTCAAATTTATATTTTTATTTTAGGTTTTATATTTTGTTTAAACACTAAATTACTATTTTTTTATAAACTTAAAACTGAGCAATTAAAATTTGTCTGAGGTTAATTGAACATAGAATGTATTGTGACCATTGATTGTATTGTGAAATCTTCCTTATTTTCTTGAGGTAAAGAAGTTATCACAAAACCATTTAAAGTAAATCAATTAAAGGACTTAAAGTAAATCAATTAAAATACTTGTCAATAAAACCCTTAAACAACTTAGCATATTACAGTATTACAAACACAAATATAGATGTGTTTTTTCTATCATCCGTTTTTTTATAGGAACGGGAAAGGGGAAGAAAAATAATCACTTGAGAAGTAGTTTTTCTTCAAATAAATTTAAACTTATAACACATATGCTTACTTGATAATTTTTTCAATACATATATATGCATATATATTACATATATATGCATATATATATATATATATATATATATATATATATATATATATATATATATATATATATATATATATATATATATATATATATATATATATATATATATATATATATATATATATATATATATATATATTGGAATAATTATTGACCAGAATATTAATTGGAAAGCCCATATTAATACAATAAACACAAAAATATCAAAAAGTATCGGCGTACTCTACAAAGCCAAACCTATGCTTTCCCAAGACAACTTAAAAATTCTCTTCTTTTCTTATATTCAAAGTTACCTAACATACGCTAATATTGCATGGGGAAGTACCCATAAAACTAAATTAAATTCACTCTACATACATCAGAAACATGCATCAAGATTAATTTATAATAAAGATAAATTCACTTTTGAATTGAATGCATTACATATCTATCAAATAAATATTTACCAAAATATCTTATTCATGCTAAAATACAAACTCGGACTTGTTCCGAAATACTTCACTGATGGCTTTTTTCATATCAACGTAAACAAATATATCACACGAGGAACAGGCAACTTAACCTTGCCTTTAAAAAAAACAAAATTCTCGCGATTTTCTTTAATATACCGTGGCCCATACTTACATAACAAAATAATACTTCAAAATATGGAACTTAATAAAATGGATAACCTTATTGCTCTGAAAAAAAAACTAAAACATATCATAATTAACTTAACCAACTTCATCGAAATGTATTAAACACTTTGGGAAAAATAGTAATAATAAAAAGCCCTACTACTTCTTCTATATAGTAGATACCAAAATACTTATGTGTATTTGTTGAACTAGTTCATTAAAGTTTATCTTATGTTTTAAAGGTTCTCGATGAAAAGACTATTTTAGCCTTCTGCGAGTTTCCTTACAACAAAGAAAAATATTTTTTAAGAATAATTTTATATATATATAAATTCAACAACGTCCATAAGCAAGTCCCTAGTAGCCCTGTGGTACGACGGACTTGCATATATTTTTTAAATGCATCGGTTAATAGCCAGCACTTTATATTATAAACAACGAATAGTTACCTTATTTTGTACACTGTACAACGCGCATGCGCTGAACAGAATTTTGACTTGTAAAAATTTTAATGGTACAAAAATTGATTAATTGTACGTTTTGTACTTATATGTAAAAATATGTAATTTTGTTTTATTGAAATATATACGGATACTTGTGTTGTAAAATAAAATATATATATATATATATATATATATATATATATATATATATATATATATATATATATATATATATATATATATATATATATATATATATTTGTTATTCACCTCCCCAAGGCCGAGAAGGCCACTACAATAAAGGGAAAAGTCGGGCCCCGGACACTTAAATAAAAAATAGATTGTAGACATGTACTAATAAAAAACAAAGTGTCAAAAGACTTTTTTAAAAGTAAAAATATTTATCTATTGAATTAGAAACCAAAAAGTAATTTTAATTACCTTAATAATATACAAAATATAAAAGAAAAAATGTTAGAAAAAAGACACATAGTTTAACCATGATTTTATCTCTTTAAACCAGTGTGACACAAATATAATATATATTTTTTTAGCATTGGACTCTTTTCAAAACATTTATAAAAAAATTGCCTTTAAAAGTTGCCTCTGGTATATAAGGAATGGGAATGAAAATGCCATCATTTAGAAATATAAACATTAGCTTTTTACTATTGAAATTATTAATATTTATATAAAATGTTTCCCATTTTTAATATGTAAATATAATACCACCTTCCAAACATGTGTCCAATACCGCCCGATCATTTACAAAAAATTTTAAAACCAGGGAATTAAAGTATTAAAAGAATTTTTTTTATTGTAAATAAAATTTTATCTTTATTCATTGAAAAGTTATTAGTTTACATAAAAATTAGGTATATTAATATGTGAATCAAATGTGAAAACAGATCGCTCTTCTGGTGGTAGGAAACAATATCTTGCACTCTTAGGGCCAGCGCGAGTGGGTGTCACGTGGGGTGCCATTACAATTTTGCAACTTAAAAAAAATTGCCAACAAAAAGAAAAAAAAGGTACTTGTTTTTTGAAATTTGCTGAGTGACTGCCGACTGACTTGTCTAAAAGGGTCAAATTTGGCGACCAAATAAACGAAAAATTTATTGATAGGGAAGGAGGGTATGGCGGTGGCGGGGTTACACCACTTGCTCCACCTCCTTCCCTCGCCCCATATTCATCAATAAATTTTGAGTTTCGTAGTAAAACCTCAAAAATGATAACCGAATAAAATTTGTATCCCCTTCAAATTAAGAGTAGGGTTGGGGAGGGGGGTGTTGAACTTTATTTGTTTATAATTTTTTACAGCTAAAATAGTTTACTATGAAATTAAAAATTTATCTATGAAGATAAATCTAGTTAAAAGTAGTACAAAATATATTTTATCAAAATGTTGCCTTTATGTTTGGGGTAGGGGGCGGTGCCTCCAACCAAATATAAAAAGGCAGTTTATCTCCAACTTATTATCATTTTTGATTACTTTAAGGCAAACAATGGCGATAACTTTCTTGTTTCTACTTGTCAATATATTTCATCCTCGTGGGTTTTACCATGCTTTTACCATAAACCATGCTGTTTATCAATTTTAAATCTCAAAATAGTAAATGCTTGTCACAAAGCTATTTCTACTGTAGAAATTACAAGAAACATGCTGTTGAATTTAACTGCAGATAATATTTTACGAGCTACAACTGGCGCTACTCTTAGTATGCCGTGCGCACATAAACTACTTAGAATCAATTGGCCTTACTGATGTGCTCATAAACTCCAGTATTGTGTGAAATCTATATATATATATATATATATATATATATATATATATATATATATATATATATATATATATATATATATATATATATATATATATATATATATATATATATATATATATATATGCATATATACATATATATATACATATATGTATATTAGTATAATGTTTATTTACCTTTGTTTAGTATTGTTATTTAACTAATTTTGATTATTTTCTAACTAATAATAGTTAATATATAATATAATTGTACCATGATGGTAATTAGACATAATGATCGATATGTACAAATGATATAAAGGAATACTCCTAGTATCAATGACAAGGAAATTAAGGGACATAAATTACCAACAAAGAAGCAATTAATTCTTTGCCTGCTTGCAAACCTTAAAGGTTCAACCTTTAATGATGCATTATCTCTTACAATTGATGTCCTGAAGTACTATATGAAAACAAATAGCCCTCCAATAAGTGGAAGAAACAACATTGGTAAAATAATCAAGGAAGTACATAATGAATTTATGAATTTAATGAAATACAATAATAGTTGAAGACATTTAGAATGCCCAGGAATCTAAAAATTTATGTCAACAAGATGCTATCGTAAAATTTAATAAGAAATCTGTTCTCCAAGGAAGCTCAAAAATGACTTTTAGGCAAAGCATGATAACTGACAGAAAAGCATCTTATTCAGGGCTATACAACTCCTGAATGAGACGCTTTCCATACAGTTAATGCAAAACTTGTTGAGAAAGGGCAAAAAATAAGCTATGATGAAGCTTTTCCCAAAAGAGACCATTCGGTAAAGAAACTGTTGAGTTTGTTAAACAGCAGTTAAACAGCAGTTCTTGTGATGAATCAGTTAAAGAGACTGCTGGACTCAGCTCAGACTGCTCTAAAATGGAAAAGCAACACAAAAGGAAAATTAAATCTGGTAATTATACATTTGTTCCATTAACATTTGAACATATTTTGTTCAAATGTTGTTTTCTGGAGTGTTAGGAATAACATTAGTAATACTAATATAAATACTAATATAAGATAAATTTATTCGTACATTTATTAATATGTGTCTGCGGAGAATATGTTTCAAAGATAAATCTAAGCTCTAGTTCAAATCATCAATACCAACCATCAGTATTGCCCCATATCAGCAAATAAGTGAAATACAAATGGAATTTGCTGCCAAAATTGGTGATACATTGCGACGGAAAACTGATGGTTACCCAGGACTCCAAAGACACTGACGATTTTCTACCTATTTTAGTATTCAAAGTCAATGGAACTAAACTTCTTGGTGTTTAACCCCTTCCAACTTCAACCACAAAAGCTGATCTGACACATGGTAACGTTGTCTCTGTTGCAACAAAAAATCTACTCAAATATTGAAAATGCGACCAAAAACATCATAGGCATGGTCTTTGTCACAACATCCTCAAATACAGGTTAGGCTTTAACAAAGCAATTATTTATTAAATTTTGTAATATGTTAATAGCTTATTAAATTTCAAATCAACAGTTCATTTTTATTCAAACTCTAAGATTACAAATACTGTGGAGGTTTTAAGTTATGGCAAGTACTTAAAATGGCAATTACTTAAAAAGAAGGTTTCAAGTAATCGCAAATATAGGCAATTAGCTATAGTTTTATTAAAGAATTGTTTCATTCATTCTTTACATCACAGTACAGCATACTGCATCATGTGTCTGCGTGTAGAGATAGTTAAATAATCTTTTGTTTTGGTTTGCATGCCGCAGACATTTAAGAGAAGTCATGCTTTGCGACATTAGGGTTCATTAAATATAGAAGCCTCATGCGGTCCAAATATTTCACTTTTTACAAGGTAAGCTTAATGCTTTTATAACATCATTTACCAAAAGATTTTTTAATTAATTAAATAGACTCAAGTGACTTAAAAGTGACTTTAGTGGCTTTAACTAACAAAATGATTACAAATTGTTGCGGATTATAGAACTACTACTTTCAACTTCCGTCAGTTAATAAAGCAAGCTTTTACTATCATGAATTTCCTAAGGCAACTGATAAGGAACAAGAAAGCTAAACAAACAGCTAATATATATATATATATATATATATATATATATATATATATATATATATATATATATATATATATATATATATATATATATATATATATATATATATATAATATTTATTTTTCTACCACTTTTAATAATATATTGAAGTAAGGAATAAGTATAAAAATCGTTTTAAATTCACTCTTGAAACAAAAAAAGTTTTTGTTTTTCTGGTTTATTAAACTAAAAAAAGTATTTTTGCGCATATATTAGGCCGGGTGAATAAAAAAAAGTAATTGTTTACTCAGTAATTTTTCAGCTTTACGTGAATAAAAACTTTAACAATTTTGCTCAAATTTTTATTCAAGTAAAGCTGAACAATTACTTAGCATTTTTGGAGTAGATTGCTAAGCTTTACGTGAACAAAAATTTGAGCGAGTTTGCTAAAATATTTATTCGCGTAAAGCTGAACAATTACTCCAAAAACGCTGAATAAAAGCAATTGCTTTTTTTTATTCACCCGGCCTATTATCAAAAATGTATATTAAACATACTTCATGCAAATACCTTAGTTTGATTCTGAATAGTTCTTTAATCGTGAAAGAGCAAATAAAAACGTGTCATATAAATCTTCTTTGGCTTCATATAAATCTTCTTTGGCTTCAAATAAATCTTCTTTGGCTTCAAATAAAGTAAATGCACTTTTAATGAACAAAAACAAGTTTGGAATAAAATAAATTAATTTTTTCAATTTTTAATAACTAATCAATTTATCAATCAAAATTATCATTATAACGAAGATTCATAATCATTAAGTGTCGCCTGATCGGTATCTTTATCATAAATAACTAGAAATGATATTTTTAATTGTTTATTTTTGTATTGATAATGCAAATATTTTTGTTCAATATGTGCGTTATGCTCGCGCGTGCAAAAAATTTATTGTTGCAAAGTCCAAATAATTCAAAGTTAGTATTTTGCAATTTGAATTGCATTGCATTGGATAATAACGTTTTAATCAATAGTTGTAAAAAATAATTTTTTAATTAACTTATAGAAAAGCGTCAAGTCAATTTTAGAGAAATACAAATTTTTTTACAGGAGAGGGGATAATACAGTAGTAGTATGGTTTATTAATTATAATACAACCATCGTTCATTAGATTTCATTAGATACTTTTTTACCTGGAAAAAAATATGTAATAAAAAATATTTTAGGTGTGGTTAATTGGATTATACTGATAAATAATTTATTTCTTTTAAAAGGTGTGTTTTTGAATTGTTTAGCCAAGATAAATGTTTATTTTCGGTCTTGATAACTAATATTGAGCAATAATGCCTCAATGTTTCATTTAAAAAAAAAAAGCCGTTCACAATATGTTATTAGTGTCTGTGTATTCATTGCTATAAAGTTCATGAAAATTCGAAAGAAGATGCAAAGCGTAATAATTCAAATCACAATTTTTTTAAGCATTTATTTATTTTCTTGTGTGACTGCAAGCTGCGTAAAATTTAGATGGTCTGGATGTTTTGACGGAGAAAATGAAGAAGGTACGGAATAATTAACTGATGGTAGTTAAAATATACCATTAAACGAAGATAAATTGATTTTTTATAACTATAAATAACTTTTTACTTTCTATACTTTGTTTTGAAATTTTTGTTCATAAATTGTTTTTGATATTTGCACTTTCATATATAATTTAGTATTTAAATAAAAATAAATTAAATTATATATATATAATTTAGTATTTAAATAAAAATAAATTAAATTATATTTTTTCTAAAATAAAAAAATTAGCTTTAGGTTTGAAATACAAAGAATTTGTCGAAAAGTTAGGAGTTTTATTTCAAGAAAGATTAAAAAAAAAAGAAACGGGTGTTAAGACGTCAGTTGCACCCACTAAAACTCTATATAACAAGAATGTTACTACTCAGTTTAAACTACCACCAGTAAAAACGGAATCAAAATTCATTAGAAGATTTTGTTAAAGGTGTTTTATAGACGAAGAAAATACTGCATGAAATTTTTCATATAACTTTATGATTAAGAAAAACGTTTATTAAAAAAAATATTTTTTTTTTTCTATTAATTTTATTAAACAGTTTTTTACTTTTTTTTATTTTTATAATTTTTTGTTTAAATATAAGTCATTATAGATAAAGAAAATTAGAATGGCTGAAGCAAAATTCAATTGAAATACTTACTTATGTGCAAGTTATGTTTTTTGTATATAACTGTATTATATAAATATATATGTATATATATGAATTTAAATATATATATATATATATATATATATATATATATATATATATATATATATATATATATATATATATATATATATATATATATATATATATATATGTAAATATTTACATGTGTGTATATATATGTGTGTGTGTATGTTGGTATACATATATATATATATATATATATATATACATACATATATATATATATATATATATATATATATATATATATATATATATATATATATATGTATGTATATATATATATATATATATGTATATATATATATATATGTATATATATGTAATATATATATATATATATTATATATATATTACATATATAATATGTAATACACACACACACATATATATACACACACATATATATACACATGTGTGTATATATATGTGTGTGTGTATGTATGTATATATATATATATATATATATATATATATATATATATATATATACATATATATATATATATACATATATATATATATATATATATATATATATATATATATATATATATATATATATATATATATATATATATATATATATATATATATATATATATATATATATATATATACATACATACATATTCAAACAACTGTAAACTTAGAAATCTTACCAGAAAACATTTAATAATCTCACTTTTTTAAAGGTTTGAAAAGTATTTTCTTTCGTTTTTTTTGTGTTTTCTTCTCATATCCGTTTCTTTTTGTTGTTTTTTTTAAAAAAAGCAACAATTATATAAGGAAAATTTATTCAATTTTCAAAACCATGTTTTATGGTATAATTAGTAATTCATTTTCACTTTTTAATTTTCCTCATCTCGTATGTTTGGATTATGGTAATTGAACATTTTTTCGTGTGCAACGTTTGTCAAAACAGTGGAAGCGTTTAGAAACAATTGTTTTTGACAAACATTAAACGTAAAGTTTCTGCAAAGTTTCATATTTCTGTTGTGTTGTTTTTCAGCACTACTTGATACATTCGAATTTTTGTGAAATAAAATATGAAGTTATTAAATTATACCCTTCAATTCATATTACCTTTTATAAAATTCTTATAATAAAATAATCAGGAAGAATGGATTGAATTTAAAAAATAGAATTTAAATATACTCTTGATATTGTTTAATTAAATTATGAATTTAATAAAAATTATGAATATGATTTTAAAAAATTAAAAAATGGATTGAAATGAAAAATATTTATAATATTGTTTAACCTCTTAATAAATTTAATTGGATTTTTTTAACTCGCAGTAAAAAAAATATGCATTTATATATGCAGCAGTTTCCAAAAAAATACACAACGGTAAAGCAATTATTTCAAGCTTAAAAAATGTTAATCTTTGTTAAAGATTTAGGAAACCTTTCTAACTGAGAGGTTTAATAGAATTCTAGTAATAGATTTTGTATCATTTTCTCCAAATGGTGCAGATTCTGTGTGTTTTCTCACTTTCATATTGTCTACGCTAAAAATACCCTGTCCTCGTTTAAATACAATTGTTCATAAAAGATATCCGTCTTATTTAGTTATTCTATACTTTTTATATATTTTTTCCACAATTGACATGCATGAACTTTCACTTTTATAGTTAATTAACATAAAATAGTTCCAACCAATCTAGAACAGAAATATCTTTTTAAAGATCTGAAGCATCTTCTTTATGCTTATATGTCATCAGAATAGACTTTAATTTAAAATGTTGTTAGGCTGATTGTTCAAATTTTACACAAAAGGTAATCAATCCAGTAAGAATTATTTAAGAGTTTTTCAAGTAACTTCTATCCATTTAGATTCGAGGCTACTTCAAGGTTACGTTCACCAAGATATTGTTTTGGGTCGGAAAACTATAAATTGAATTCTTAAGGCCGTTTTTTTTTTTTTTTTTTTTTTTTTTAATTTTTTCTTTTGATGCACTCAACATTTAACTTAGGTAAAAGTCACTTATAAGGCGCTTTAAAAAATACCTTAGAAAGATCTTTACAAAAACTATTAACTGCTTAACTAAAATAAAAAGCTTAAGTAAGAATGTGTCTACATTCTAGAGTAAGTAAGAACAGAAGGTTCTAGAAGGTTTAACATGTAACTGTTTAGCAAAACCGTAAAAAAAAATTAAAAAAAAATTCTGTCAATATATAGTTATATGCCCTTAAAGTTAGTTTTATTTTTAAATTAGATTACACAATGTGTCATAATGAATTAATGCATATATAACCCCATACCTGAGCACGGTATTAAACAAGGCAGTTTGTTTGCGGTTGAAATGTTGACAACAATCAATATTTTGCAAAGATCAGGATCTTTTACTTTTAGAAATAACCAACAATAGAGCATCGCAAGAAGAAAAAAATGCTTTAGCGAAATTAATAAGTACATTTTTGTCTATATCATTTTCTTCTGAACTTGACTTATAAATTAGATATAAAAGCCGTGTGCTAAGTACAGTTAGTATTTAGCTGCGTATTCTGCGTACCAGATTTAATTTATTTTGTTCCGTTGATTTGTATGCAATAATAATGGAAAGATATATTTAATTTTTACGAGTATAGTAAAATATTTGATGTTAATCATTTAACATTAGTTCAGTATTCAAAATAACAGATCACCAGGAGGCTTGAGAATCGAATGATTTAAATGGTTGTTCAGATTTCTTAAAAATAATGTTTCCATTTACTATAATATTTCCGTTTTGATTTCTTTATCTTTGATACGGTCAAAAACAATTTTTTCTATTTAAAAAACATATGAATGAAGTGCTTCTAGTTATCTAACTAACTTTTTAATGCTTTTTTGTCTAATATTTTTGACGCATAACCGCTGCAATTTATTTAGCTTTTAAGTTTATCATTGGTAGCTTTTATAAGTTTCGGCATATTCCACATATCTTAATAAGCAGATAAAGAATAAGAACAATTTAATGCCTTTCAGTTTTTGGTTGTATTTATGAATGATAATTTTTTGAACCTCGTTTATTAAAAAAACTGTTAGTAGAGCATATGCATGTCATATACGCGTATTTATAATAAAATTGCGTCATAATTGACTTTCCCTATATAAGGTGTTTAGCAACACCTGATGACACCAATCAGCACCTGATGACACCAACCAGCACCTGATAACGTTTTTATCATTTGTTGTTGTTGCTGAGCAGATGGGTGGTTTTTAATTGGTTAATTTTATTGGAATTATCTATTAATTGGTTAACTTTATTGGAATCTATTAAGAAACATACTTAGTTAAGGTTTTGATTTGTCACAACAAAAATGTTTTTAAAAAATGATTTACCTTTACACATTCTTGTAACTAAAATCTGTTATACTTTCTTCTTCAACCTAAACACAAGTTGCAACAATTTCGTTGATTTTTAGAATAAAAACATAAACAAACAATTATAATTGCTTATCAGAAAGTGTTAAACATAAAAGATAGTAATATTTAAATATTAACAACATTATATAATAATAAAATAATATACATTAAGTAATAATAAACATTTTGAATATAAAAGATTTTTACACTAACAAAAACTACTATATTACACATTCAAATATTAAATGGGTTAAGAGCTAAATTTCAAATGGACACGAATGTATTTCAAATAACTGATAAAAATTTGAAAACATGAATAAATATTATAATTTTTTACAAGCATCTACATCAGGATGCATTGAAAAATTGAGTGAAAAATTATAAATGAAAATTTGTATACGTAATATTATTAAAAAGTTGCCTTTTTGTTTAAAATCAACAAATCCCAACTCCACCTCCCCAGTAAAAAGTTATGTTTTTTGTATATAAAACACCTAAAGATCAATGGCACTCTCTTGGGACACCTAAAGATCAATGTTGCAGTACAAGAATTTTTGTAAGGAATTCGATGAATTTAAACCAAAAAATAATTTTATCTATTAGTATAAAATTGTGATATAATTTTAATTTAATAGAATTAATTAAGTTAAATAATAACGTTTAACAACAGTCTTTTAGTTCAAAAGTTCATAAGCTTTCCTTTTCTGATGTTGTCTCATGTTTTTTTATCCACTTTGTCTTCTGTGTTAATAAACATTAGTGATTTGTATTTAAAATTTCCTCCTATTAAAAATAAACAATGATAACCATATTGTGGCTATTTTTTTTGTAAATATGAAACAACAGGTGTTTATCAAAGAATGGAATTCTTTATTGCAAACAAAATTATTTTTTACTGGCTATTCAAATATTGAAATAAATGCACAAAATTTTATTTTTACCAGGTAAAACATTTAACAATTGTTTTTAGTGTTACTAAATAAATTTCTGTAATTTAATTCCAAGAATTATTGCTTATTATGGAATTTTTTTGTAATTACCAGGGGAAAGGTGCCTATGATGGTATACTTAACTTTGAAGCTTAATTATTTAGTATTCTGAAAACCACGAACAAAAGTTTTGATATGAATACATTCTTTGTTACTTGTAGAACAATAATAACCCTAGGAGTTTTCAGCAGTTTTATTTTTTTATTAGTTATTTTTATTTAAAAAAAACGGAAAAGTATGTCATCTGCTCCTATGATGGCATAGAGGAGGATGGGGCTAGTTAGCATCAAGGGTAACTTGACGATTTCATTTGACTTTAGATTCTTTCCTCAGAAATGCCAGAAAATACGCGTAATCATTCTAATTAACCTTTCATGCTCTACAGCAACACTGTAGAATTTGGCGCATGCGCATTAGAGATATTGCGTTTTATGTGTTTTTTGAACCAAATATTTTTTAGAGAAGTAAAACTTTGTTACTTTCTTTACTTTTTTAGTGAAGTAAAAATTTGTTACTTTCTTTACTTTTTTAGTGAAGTAAAAATTCTTCTTTACTTACAAATATGTTGTTTTTATGAAGAAAAAGAAGATTTTCTCAACTTGTCAATATTGCAACACACCTAACTTGTCAGTATGCCATCATAGTTTTAGAACCTATGTCTGCAAGCTGACAATACCTAATGTCTGAATTTTTTTTTTTTTTAATTGTGGTTTATAAAAATTAATATATAAGAATGTAATCTAATGCATTTTAACTAAGCTAAATCTGTTCCATACCCCTACTTCATTGAAGACCATGGTCTTCAATGAAGTAGGGGTATGGAACAGATTTATACCTATCATACCCCTACTTCATTGAAGACCATGGTCTTCAATGAAGTAGGGGTATGGAACAGATTTAGCTTAGTTAAAATGCATTAGATTACATTCTTATATATTAATTTTTATAAACCACAATTAAAAAAAAAATGTTTGTTTCGTGGTACCACGAAACAAACGACAATTTCAAAAAGCTTAAACTTAAATTTACCTCATCTAAAGAAGCACTTCGATTTCATATCTAAAATTATAAAAAGCTTTTAACTTTCTAACTTTCAATGATCTATGTATTCTTAGTGCTAACAACAGATAGAATTGGGCACCATGCCCAAAAATCACTTGTTACCTCTAAGGCTAACAATGCTTGTTATCCTTTCAGAAATTCGCGACTTTGGAAAAAACTATATACAGTTTATATACAACCACTTTTAGAATTTGATGTCCACTCATGGTGTTCTTATATAAAAATACTTCTGCAACTGAAAACTTTTAACATTGTGTAACAAAAGAAAGATACTACCTTGTAAGATATAACTTAATTAACAACCGGTGGTTAACTATGAAATACCTTGCAAGACAATGGCGTAAATTCCAATTCAGTCAAAAGTTTAATACAAATAGACTGGCATCCAAAATAGATACTATAGCCCATCATTTTCCGTGACTGCTTCAATGCTCCTATATTAACTAGGCTTGCTAGTTAATAATGAGCTTTTAGTTTATATATTGTTCCGTATAACGTATACTGAAAAAAAGTAATTAA